CTGCCGTCATATTCAAATTCATATACTCGGTAAAAATATTCATATGAACATTGATTATTGTTAAGTTGTGGAGAATAATATGAATAGAAGGCCGCAATATAAGGCGTTATGCGAGTCATTATGTGTATAGGTCCGTCAAGTTTTTTTTTTTTTTTATAACCCTAACTGTTCACATTATAAATAGAGACAACATTATTTGTATTTTTAGCTGTTACTTGACAAAACCTAATAAGAAATCCTAATACAGCTATGGAATAGGTATAATTATCGAATCACGTAAAATCTTTATGCTGTGTGATTTTACGTTCTTTTCTTTCTGCTTTATTCTTTTGCTTGATTCGTTTACTAACAATTATTTATATGCATACTTGAATAGTGTATATCTAAGTTGTCAGAACATAGCGATTCTTTGAAATTCAGTGTGGTCAAAGAAGTTCATTGAATTTGCAAGGCACCTAAATGAGAAAGATGACAGGTTTTTTTCTTTTTTGGCTGAAACAGCAGTTTGTATACAAACTCATATGGTTGCGTAGACAGACTTTGGGTCTTAATAAACAATATGCAAAGTAGCAATTCTGCCCTCATCAAACCTGAACAACAATAAAGCAAAGTGGAAACCCAACCTGTTCGAACCTGCACTAATATTTGATATTGTGAAAGGATCCATGGAGTGGATGCTAGACTGTTCATCTTGATCACCATAATTGATTGGCAGAAGTACCAATAATCCAATAAGAGAGCAGATTCCAAAGAAATAGATCCTGCAAGGAAAAGCATAAGTAGAAAATGAGATCTTATGCGTAGAAAGAAAACTTCAGAATCCATTTCAATATGATCTTATGCATAAAAATCAAAACAAATACGGCGCTGGCTAACATCCAAAGATTGCTCTGAAAGCATCCCTATTTAGTTTAGTTAGTAAATCAGAATTTTGTCCAAGTTCTCTTGTATTAATTCTGCCAAGAAACTGAAATTTTTCTGATCATCTATCTTTACATCTCATGCGTTTATCAAGATAAACATTTTCAATTTTGTCAAGAATATAATAGTCCCAGAACCCATTAAAGACTGAAATTCATAGGCAAACTTAAAAATACAAGAACAGAAAAGAAGCCAAAAAGGAAAAAACTAACCCAAATTTGAAGAGTCTGATAATGATGAGAGCATCCAAGCCGCCAATATCAAGAACTTCATCTTCAGTGACTCGAAAAGCACGAGGAATCCAGGAAACCGAAGGAAGAAAGCGAGAAAGAGTGAAGTGGTGATCAAAGTGAACATGGTGTCGTTTAAAGAGCCGACGTGCGTAGTAAATGGAGGCATTAGAGGGTTGTTTCTTGAAGATGGAGAAGAGTGATAGAATAACGAATGCCAAGCCAAAGTTAATGGCTGCCGATGCAGTAAGACTTTCTGGGTTCATTTTGATCACTCAGAAACTCACTACCATTGGTCAGGTTTGTATGGTAGAGACGAGAGGTTATTGAGAAAGGGGAGAGGAGAGGAGAGAGTGCCAGGTTTGGATGGTACGTGGCATGGTTGCATGTAAAAGAGTCGAATTGGGTGGAGGATCAATGATGAGCAAGCCTAACTGCTTTGGCTGCATGCTACGTCCGTCTGGGACGGGACCGGGTCCTGGGCTCCTTAAGAGTCGATCCGGAACTGGATTCAGGGTGTCTAGATTTCGGTTCGGAACAGGTGTAGGAGCGCTTCCAGTGCAGGCCTGGACCGGTACTGTAATGCTAGTGTTCGGATCCAGACAGAATTTAAGGCGTTTGGTTTGTATGATGGGACCAGGTTTGGATCGAAACTAATTTTGATCCAGTTAGTCGCAGTTAACCTAAAAATCAAGTTTGAGAAATTTAAAAATCGGGTTCTGTCACCTAAAATCAAGCCTTAATAGCTCGAGTATTCAAGTGAAACTAGTTTTATTTTTTGAAAAAAAATAATAATAAATAAATAAAACTAGCCAAACAAACAAGTTTTGAGTTTTTTAAAAAACAAATTAAAAAAAAACTTTAAAATTAAAAACAAACAACAAAAATAATCCCAAATAGATCCTAGATATTTAAAAAAAAAAAGTTTTTTTTAATGAAGTAAATTTCCAATTTTTGACTCTTTTTTTTAGGGTTAAATCAAACTATTTATACTAATTGTAGCATATGGATCATATAAAAATAATAAAAAAAACCATTATGGCCACAATTAAAATTAGAATAAATTTAGTAAAATTATAATTTAAATTCACTTGTCAACCACAATTTTTTTAACAAGTAATGTACGCATATATTCATTTTATGTAATGAGTAACTCAAACTAAACAAAAGTACTTTATTTTGTTTTCTGTAACAAAAAAAAAAAAAAAAGATGATTTTGTTTATTAATGAAGATGCTTCCTTGAATGTCTTTGATAAAAATATAAAATTAATGACTTTTGTGCTTGGATCGTATCTACTTATTTCAAATTTGGATGGAATATTTAAAAATCCAGTCCAAACACAAAAATCAATATCTTTGTTTTTTCTTCTCTTCAATCTTTTCATAATATTTATTTATATTATAGTTTTCATATTTCTTTACAAAAAAAAAAAAAAAAAGCAAGATAAATTAAAAAAAAACATGAAATAGATGAAAGGACTAGTCAAAACTACACAGACTAACTTATAATTTACTCCCTTTTGCAAAGGGTTCAATTATTACCAAAAAAAAAAAGTGTATGAGAAATGTATTTGGGCTCTTTTGATGTTTTTTTTTAATTTCGATGCCCACCATTTCAAGAAAAACTGATGCAACCTAAAAAGCGTATTTGGGCTCAGTTGAGTGTCGCTTATCTATTATAGGAATCCCATTTACTCGAGAGCCCACGCATAGTCTACAAAGTGCACGATGTGGCCATCGTCATTTCAGAGATGCAAAAAAATATTTGGCATAATGCCAAGCTATCCAGGCATTAAAGAAATGAATCCTACCCTTTCTTGGGTAGCCCAAAATCTTAGTTATCTTCTAACAAATAAAAAAAATGCATTAGATTAATTTTTTTATTTTATTTTTTTGATTTCTAAAGTATACTAAGGTGTCATTTGGTTATAAAGAATGAAAGATTCGGAATGAAAATGTAGGAATCGGGATGAAAATTAAAGAATCAAAATGGTATTTGTATTGTTTGGAATACTAATAAGGAATTGAAATGTAATTTAAATTTTTTAATACCTGGTTTTTTATATAAATAAAAATAATAATTAAAAAATAATTTTATCAAACTATAATAATTATAAAAATAATAAAGATGATGGTAGTGGTGGATCTAATGGTGATGGTTATAGTAATGGTAGTTCTAGTGGTGATGGTGGTCATGGTTACAACGAGTGATGGTTATGATAGTGGTGCCGATGGTGGTTGCTATGGTGGTGGTGGTGGTGGTGATAATAATAATAAAAATAATTAATAAATAATATTTAAATAAAATATATTATTATTTTGAAAAAAAATTCATTCTCATTCTTTATTTTTATTCCCACATCTTATGTAACAATGAAGTTGTGTGTAAATTTTCATTCTCATTCTCATTCTCACTCCTCATTCTTATTCTCACTTTTTTCTTTTTAATCAAACAGACTACAACGTAGGAATAAAACTTCTATTTCCATTCACACTACTTTATTCCCGATTACTAAATAACACCTAAGTCTAAAAGGTCAACCTAATTCTTTATTATTCTACCCGACACACAAGACGAGTATAATTACCGAAGAAATTTTTATCGATAAAAAAACTTGAATCCGAAACCACTTTAATTAAACAACTAAAGCTCATTCTCGCTCAAATCAACCCTCTTAGAAGATTTGAATCTTGGCCTAGTTATAAACGAGTTGGTCTATAGATGAATTTTTTGTCAATATGCACGACTTGAATCTTAAAATCATACTTGTTGAGAGGAGTTAAACTTTATTGCTTTCATACCGATCAAAAAAAAAAATTGATCATTAGCTTAAAATTTGACTTTCCCAAGCTAATTGAAATTTAATTCTGCTCGCTTGATTAAGAAATGGATTAAAGAAATAAAGAATGGTCTTTGTTCTGTAGCTCCTAAAGAACAAAAAAATCCATTGGCTATGGAAGGAAACTAGGCTGAAGGCAAAGGTAAAGGTAAGTTAAAAAAAGATAAAAGAAAGAAATAAAAAGGCATAGCAGCCTTGGAGGGCAAACCAGGTATCCCTCTAACCGGGAAAATCAATGGAGCGTTAGAGGCAATTTTGAAACTAGCCACGTAAAACACACAGGAAACTGCTGCTGTTGTTTTCTTGGTTGACTTAGTCTCTTCTAACCACATTAAATTTTACAAGAAAAAAACCAGGAAGCATACCAGAAACAACAGCAGCCTTTAACTCGTGTAGGAAGAAGTCAGAGCCATTGATACTGACCTTTTAGATACCCTTCTCCACAAAACTCCAAACAAGAAAACCTCAAATCCATTTCACACTCAGCCACAAGATATTTTCACCTATATTTTTTTAGTGAAATCTTAAAAGACTTGAGGGTTGTCCAAAATGTAAAGGAACAAGACAAATAGGTGAATCCAGGAAAGACTGGTGTGCCAGGTCTCGGTCTTTGTTTACATAAATTACTTGTAAATCCCGTCCAAGACGAATTTAATGGAGGAAGAAACCTGTTTTCTGGAGTTTTCAGTCAGTCTTTGCAGTTCTTGATTTTCTTCTTCAGGTTCCTAGTCTTGTTCGTTTCATTTACCTCTGAATCTGAATTTTCTTGCTTGTTGAATCTTGAATTCTTGCTCTAGTGCACAAAACTACTGTGTATATATAGACAAGCACACTTACATGCGTGTGTATCTCCTTTGTTAATATCTACTTGATTTGATTTCTTGATTATCAGGCTGTTCTATTGATTTCTTGTTAATCTTCTCTTTTTCTGAGTTCTGAATACTTGCACACTTCCTCTCTCAACTTCTGTAAATTTCTTGTAAATTACTTCAATAATTTCAAGAAGAGATGGAAAATTCTGATAGCAGAAGCATTTCTGAGCTTGAATCAGAGCAACAAACCTCAACAGAAGGGGTGGTATCACTTACTAAGAACTTGGAGTTCGATAGAGAAATATTCACTGAATTTGCAGTTCTGCTTGACAAGTTCACACCGATTTTCGTAGCAATAAAGGATAATGAGAAACTCATGGACACCCCACCAGTTCAAAAGGCAGTTGAATCCATAGAAAAAGAGCTTAGTCGCGCTAAGGACTTAATTGAAGGAACTTGTTCCAGATCATCCATTAAGCAAATTGAGGTTCTTACTCAAGAACTTGGGAGATCATTAGGCCTTGTGCTTTTCGCAAGTATTGATGCATCCACAGAAGTCAAACAAAATATTGCAGCATTGCACCAAGAATTGATGAATGTGAAGTTTGATATCAGTTTTACTCCAAGTCCAAGTCTCAGCCCTAGTCCTTGTGCAAATCATGGCCCGAGACCAAGCAAAGAATCAGGGTTTGTTAGTGAGCAGGTTACTTTTATTAATGAAATTGAGGAGGAAAAGATTAGTCTTAGCATCGATGATGTTGTGCTACAACTCAAGTATGGCAATGACGAAGAATTTAGGCTTGCACTTTTGGTCTTGAGTGATTTAATTAGGGATCAAGTAATTGATAAAAAGTGGATTAATGATGAAGATATTATTCCAATTCTGTTTAATCGGCTAGGCTCCGGCAAGCCTCACAACAGGTTAACTATCATCCAGATACTGAGAATTCTTGCTTTGGAGAATGCCGAAAACAAGGTGAATCAGATGAGAAATGATTTATTTTTTCTTCATAATTTTGGTTGGAAGTGTAAGAATTTGAAGTTTTTAGCTATCTTACATTGTCTGGTAGTCTGCAGGAGAAAATGACAGATGCGGTCTGTTTGTCAGTTTTGGTGAAATCTTTGACGCGCGACGCAGAAGAAGGGAGGGAAGCTGTAGGACTGCTGTCGGAGCTCTCGGATATTTCTGCCGTTAGGCGACGGATTGGAAGAATTCAAGGAAGCATAGTTATGTTAGTCACCATGCTTAACGGGGATGATCCAACTGCTTCACGTGATGCCGCGAAGTTGTTGATTGCACTGTCAAGCAATACTCAAAATGTGCTTCATATGGCTGAGGCTGGTTACTTTAAACCTCTAGTTCATTGCCTGAAGGAAGGTAACATTAAAGCGTCCTTTCACTTAATTCATGTTCTGTAGCATATGTTTCATGTTTAGAACTGTGGATGTATTTTGATGTTGTTTTATGTGCCTTTTGAATGGAAAGGCATTTGGGATTTTTATGAGTTGGGGTGTGAATCCTAGATTAAAAATAGATATCAAGATCTGAACTTCATTCCCACCAAATTGTTGTATCCAAGCACCTTGTTGTCTAAATGCAATCATCTTGCTTTTACAGGCTCTGATATGAGCAAGATCCTCATGGCAACAGCAGTTTCAAGGATGGAGCTCACAGATCAGTGCAGAGCCTCTCTTGGGGAACATGGGGCAGTTGAACCCCTAGTTAAGATGTTTAAATCAGGAAAGCTTGAAGCCAAGTTATCTGCTTTAAATGCATTACAAAATTTGTCAAACTTGACAGAAAATATACAGCGTTTAATCAGTTCAGGCATTGTAGTAACCCTGCTCCAACTATTGTTCTCGGTGACCTCTGTCCTTATGACTCTCCGGGAGCCAGCATCTGCAATACTTGCAAGGATTGCTCAATCAGAAACTATTCTGGTTAAACAGGATGTAGCTCAGCAGATGCTTTCGCTTTTGAATCTGTCGAGTCCAGTGATTCAGTACCATCTCTTGCAAGCTCTAAATAGTATTGCATCCCACTCTAGTGCATCCAAAGTAAGAAGAAAAATGAAGGAGAATTGTGCAGTCCAGCTTCTTTTACCCTTCCTGACAGAAAGCAACATCAAAATCAGAACTGCTGCCTTAAATTTGCTTTACACCCTTTCTAAAGATTCACCAGAAGAGTTCATGGAACAGCTTGGGGAATCCTATCTCAGTCGCATTGTCAATATCATCTCATCATCAGCATCTGAAAGCGAAAAGGCTGCCGCAATCGGCATATTGAGCAATCTTCCTGTTAGCAATAAGAAATCCACAGAAGTACTAAAAAAATTACATCTTCTGCCCATTCTCATCTCACTAATGAGTTCAAACGCATCAGCATCAACAACAACATGGTTAGAAGAAAGCATTGCTGGTATACTTATCCGCTTTACTGTTCCTACTGATAAGAAATTACAGCTTCTTTCAGCAGAAGCAGGGGTGATTCCTATCCTTGTCAAGTTACTGTCAAGTGAATCATCAGTAGCTAAGTGTAGAGCAGCAAACTCACTGGCACAACTATCGCAGAACTCACTAGCTCTTCGAAAGTCCAGAAAATCACGGTGGACATGTATGCCTCCTTCGGCAGATACTTTCTGCCAAGTCCATGATGGCTATTGCACCGTTAAAAGCACATTTTGTTTGGTCAAGGCCGGCGCTGACCCTCCTCTGATCCAAGTATTGGAAGGTAAAGATAGAGAAGCTGATGAAGCTGTCCTCAACGCCCTCGCAACTCTCTTGCAAGATGAAATTTGGGAGAGTGGAAGCATGTACATAGCCAAAACGTCTAGTGTTCAAGCCATAATAAGAGTGTTGGAATCAGGAACTGTAAAGGCCCAAGAAAAAGCACTATGGATGTTGGAGAGAATTTTCAGAACTGAAGAACATAGATCACAATATGGAGAATCTGCTCAGGTAGTGCTCATCGATCTTGCGCAGAATGGTGATCCAAGATTGAAATCAACAATTGCAAAAGTATTGGCACACCTTGAACTATTGCAAGCTCAATCTAGTTACTTTTGATAGAGAATTTACGTAGTAGTGCAAGCATAATGTTGTGCATGTGAGTTTTTTTTTTTTCCGCACACATTATTTCATTCACTTGTTTTTTTTCCCTTGATGTATTTAAATCATCTTTTTGTGGATGAACATTAAATCCAGTAGTTCTATTGTTCATATAAAAAAATTGTGGTTCTGAATTTGCATGCAGCCATTCATGAAAATATTTAAAACTCTATGGCCATATGATATGAACAATCCAAAACTCCAAAACAAAATCATAATAAGAATTACTATGCAAGTCTTCTAAATATATATATATATTCCCATTATGCAAAGAAATAGTGTTAAAAAGAGCACTAATAACCTCAAGATATTTGTTTAGTTGACAAGAAAAATATTCATTCCATTTAGAAAGCTCAAATTCTCCAATTATTAGTTTTAGAATATCTATGTTGGATTGACCCCATTCAATTTGAGTCGGACATAAATAGGATTGAATTCCTTGTGTGGATATAAAAAACTCATTGTTTTTGTAGAGTATATGGTCATTAAAAAAAAACATTAAAAATGTTAGAAATAGTTGGAATCCTAAAAGAGAAAATAAAAACAAAAACAATTAAAAAAGTCGAACCTTTTTGAATTTTAGTCTATTTAAAAATCAGTTTTAAAATTTTTAATTTTTATTTTAACCTTCGTTAACTTTGATTTTATTTTTTTAGTCAATCTTTCAATTTTTTGTCATTTATCCCAAAAAAATAAGAATTATATAAATAAATTTAAGATAAAAAATCATTTAGTGAAATTTATTTGAAGCTTTTCAAAAAAAATTAAGATCATTTAAGATTATTTTTTTTTACTTTTTTTAATGTTCAATAAATAAATAAATATAATTTTCATCTTGAATTTTTTTAAAAAACCAGATTGAATTTTTTCCAATCAAAATATCAAGAATTGAATTTTTTTTTATTTTTTATATATATATAAAGAAGAGGTGATTGCTGAAAATCTAAGCGGGACTAAATCTCAAATAAGAATAATGCTAAGGGAGGTAAAAGCATAAATTAAAAATTTAGAGACAGATTTTTAAATAAATTAAAATTCAGTAACGGTTTGGCTCTTTTAGCCAGACATGAAATGACAACAAAGCCCACGCACGACATGTCGTTTCCTTAAGACTTTAGTAACCGAGAAATAACGTCGTTTAGACCTAGCGCCATCTTTCTCCTTCAATCACTTCACCAAAAACCCTAACTAACCCCCTCCCACTCTCTCTATCACCAAAAACGACTACCTTCACTTTCTCTTTCTAGAAACTACAGTTTTCTGTCTCTAAAAATGCTCCGTCGAAACATTCGATTACGAAGAGAGTATCTGTACAGAAAAAGCTTAGAAGGCAAAGAACGTTTACTTTACGAGAAGAAACGCAAAATCAAAGAAGCCCTAGCTGGTACCAATTTTTTTTAATTGTTTTTCTTATCTTTCATATTTAAAACAAAAATTATGATTTTTAATTAATTAATTAATTAATTTTATAGAGGGAAAACCGATTCCTACTGAGCTTCGAAACGATGAAGCTGCTCTTCGTCAAGAAATTGATCTTGAAGATGAAAACACTGCAAGTAAGCTGCTGCTTCTTTTTAATTTTATATATAATTCTTTTGTTTTTTAATGTTTTTTAGTGTTTTTTTATTTTATTTAATTTTTATTTGCCTAATTTTAGTACCGAGAAGTCATATTGACGATGAGTACGCAAAAGCAACTGAAAGAGATCCGAAAATTTTATTGACTACGTCGAGGGATCCGAGCACTCCTCTTATTCAGTTTGTTAAGGTACTTTGTTTGGTTTAGTTTAGAATAATTTATGTGATGTTATGTTGTTGTTAGGTTTTTGTTTTGATTGCATTATACACACAAATTTGTTAGATTGTGAATTTGATTGGAGTGGTCGGTACAATCTTGTGCAGGAATTGAAGTTTGTGTTTCCGAATGCAGAACGAATCAATCGTGGTGGTCAGGTTAGGAAATTGATATTAAATAAACTCTAATAGATTTTCAAGAGACTGACTCAGGGTCAAAAGGATGGTTTTGATGTTTGTATCTTCTAATTTTATGTTAATGTAGATGAAGAAATGTGTTGTTAATAAAAATTGTTGAATGAGTGTAAATAGGAAGTTATGTTTTGTTAAAGCAAACAAGTTCAGATGTTCTGTGCTGGTTCAATTTGATATATAGTGACATTTAAAAAAAAATGTTCTTTGCAGGTTATATCTGAGATTATTGAAAGTTGTCGTGCGCATGATTATACTGATGTAATTTTGGTGCATGAGCATCGTGGAGTGCCGGATGGTTTGGTTATATGCCATCTACCGTTTGGTCCAACTGCTTACTTTGAATTACTCAATGTGGTAAGTAGTTTGGTCATTCTTGCATTTTTTGGACTATTATTCATTGGTCTTATGTTTTAGGGAATTTTGTATGCTGATTAAGTGTCCATAATGTAGGTTACTAGACATGACATTAAGGACAAGAAAGCCATGGGAACTATGCCTGAGGCCCACCCACATTTGATTCTTAACAAATTTGAATCCAAGGTATTAATTTCTTGTTCATTGAATGTTCAATCTCGGTTTTCAAGTTTGACTTCTGCATGTAGAACTTGAGGTTAATTGAAGTTATTGATGGACAATTAGCTTGCTGCTTTTGAAAGAAATGGAAAATATTTTACTTAGCTAATACAGACAATTGATTATGTGCTCACTGAGGTTATGTATGGAACTTTGTGCCTTCTACACTAATTTAATTGAATTGCAAATCCAATAAATTGTGCAGAGGTAAGGAAAGTTAGCATTGAGAGTATTGTGGAAATATTCTGCTGAAATGAAATATGAGGCATGGTTGCTACATTTGACTTTTGCAAACGACTGCATTAATTGAACAGTATCAGGGATTTTATTGTTGGAATCTGAAATCCCTCTGATGACATAGTTTCTTTGGATGTTGTAGCACTCTCTTCACCTATATTCTATGCTAGTAACATTGTATTTGCCTTTCGTTACTTCAGTTTTTTTACCTGTTGGTGGTTTATTCCATTGTTGAATCTTTTTGTTGATGTTTACAGCTGGGAGAAAGGACAGCAAACATTCTAAAACATCTTTTCCCTGTGCCGAAGCCAGATACTAAACGCATCATCACTTTTGCAAATCAATCTGACTATATCTCCTTCAGGTTGGTTTGTTGTTTCAGCCCATGAAAGATTTATTTTCTTAAGCCCAATGGGGACAGTTTGATTCAATTTGCATATTTTTTTCATTTTATGCATTACTTAGTGCTGTATATTAGTAGTAAAACATTGGAATGTGTGGGGTATCTACCTTTGTTTGGTGTTGCTTGGGATACTCTCGTGGTCAATATTTGCTAATTTTGGTTCTTCAGTCCAGTTCATTCATGTTTGTGAAAGATGTAAAAGTAGGACCCATTGAATAGCTTTCTTACATTGTTCATTTTGTGACCCTGCTAATGTAGAGGTTTGCTATAAGAAACTTTATAGATAATATATGAAGCAGAAGACATCACGAAGAAAAGGAAATTTAAGTTTTCTTGTGAAAGATTTCTTTTAATTATCCGTAATGATGCTTTAGTCTTGTCAAATGACAGGTGGCAGCTGTCATATGCAATTTCCCTTCTGCACTTTGAGTTCTTTACATTACTTTTTATTGTTGGTAATGGCAATAATGTTTGATTTTGGAAAGTTGTCAAATTTTATCAGAAAATATTCTAAGTTGACTAGTACATTGAAGATTTAAAGATTGAAAGCTTACAAAATATTCTCAAAATCCCTAGTCAACAACACTGAATGTATCCTGATAAGAAAATAAAAGTCAAATCAAATCAAAATGTGTAGGAGTTACTTTGTTATTTCCAGATGTGGCCAACCTGGATACTGGGATGGGAAGAATGTACCCCTGCTCAAACCACTACCTGCTGGTTTCTGGTTTCTCTTTTTCATATAATAGTATTTTCGTATTACGTGCATATCATATTTTCAAGGTGAACATGTTCTTCCTGTTGACTGTTGCTTTTCTGTTTGCAAGCTGTTTATCAGTGGGATTCATCATCCTTTTATTACTAAATTGATAACCTTTCCTTCATATGGAATATGCTTTGGCTGATTATTTGTAATTTATAGGCATCATATTTATGAAAAGCTTAGAGGCCCCAAGTCTGTTGAGCTCAAAGAGATTGGTCCACGGTTCGAAATGCGGCTTTATAAGGTATATCAAATATCTAATGTCAATTAGTTCCCTTTTTACTGCACCTAAGCCTCCTTGCCTACAAGTTAGAAAAGGCTTCTGTAGTATTATAAATTACTTGTATAGCATCTGTAAATGCCTTCTGATGTTGTTACTAATCCTTGGTGGTGTAATTTTTGGATAATTGATGTTTTTGTTCTTCACATTTTATCTACAGATAAAGTTAGGAACAGTGGATCAGACTGAAGCGCAAGATGAATGGGTGTTAAGACCATACATGAACACAACAAAGAAGAAGAAGTTTATTTGACATTAAGATGAGCTTCAGGAATTAATCTCAAACTTTGTATCTTTATTTCTTCTGTACTTTAGCAATTTTGGCATCTAATCATAAGCTGATTTATAATCGCTTTTAAAATAATTATGCCGTCATTGGAATGATTAGATATGGTTCAAGCCTCTAACCAAGGATGATTTTCCTGGTTTGAGTGGGGCTTTTCTCACTTGCCTGGAAGCCGGTACCATTTACATTTTTTTTAAAAAAAAAAAAGAACAAAAAAAAGTAGAAAGTTTAGTCAAGGCATTGGCAATTTGACACAAGCATTACTTAAAATATATTTGGTTAGTTTTTTTCTGAATTTAAGAAGATTTAATATTTGAGTAACAAAGATGCAAACCTTTAATCCCTAAGAATCATTACTTCATGGTATGTATCTCTCTTTCAAATATGTTGTATGATAGTGTCGCGGATTTTTATATCCCACGTTTCTCGAGTCCGATTTCATTTCAGAAAGACACTAGCAGCCTTGCCATTAAATTGATATCCCACAATGCTACAGTTTTAGTGAAGGGCACATCTACCAAAGCTAACATGGCAAAATCATGGACTTGCTTGTGGTATTTATGTTGCAAGGGGAATCTGAATAAGCCTTGTCTGCTCCTGATTGAACGTATGACATTATAAGCGATTTCCAGCACCTTGTATTTATTTATGCGATGATCGTCATGAATTCCAGGGCACAACATAGTGAAGGAAAGTGGAACAAAATCATCAATGATGTTTACAGCAAATTTCCCTTGCAAGCAAGATTTTCTTTAAATAAGTTATCCTCAATTTTGGTACTGTACAGTACACATGGAAGACCCCTCAGGAGTCCCCTCCTTCCTATGAGGTACAAGCCAGAAAAGCTTGGTCCTTGTAGACGAACAGCTCGTCAACAGTGTCCCCTTCTGCCACCTGTATCAACTATCAACCGAGCTGAACGGTTACCTGTTGGCATAACTCCATCAGCAAGTTATGCTTACAACTTGCTTCGCCTGTGATTATGTGGAGAAAGTAAATTCGTCTCAGGCATTATAGATTAGGCGGCTCCTCCATGCTTGTTTCACTGTTTGTTTCTGGGGGTACACGATTTTCATCATTTGGGCAAGCTTCACTCTCCTTTTCCCCATCTAATTGGTTCTCAGGTGGCAGATCCTCCATGCTTGTTTCGCTGTTTGTAACTCTTTCCGGTGGCACACCATTTTCATCGTTTGGGCAAGCTTCACTCTCCTTTTCCCCATCTAATTGGTTCTCAGATGGCAGATCCTCCATGCTTGTTTCCCTGTTTGTAACTCTTTCTGGTGGCACACCATTTTCATCATTTGGGCAATTTAATTGCTTCTCAGATGGCAGATCACCATCTTCACCATTTGTAACGCTATCCATCTCTCTAGGTTCCTCAGACTGGTTTCCATCCAGTGTATCATCAACTGCACCATTTGCAGAAGCAGGTCCATCCGATGAGTAAGCCATATACTGCTCATGCTGATAGCTCATCAAACGTGCCTGGCATAAAGAGAAACCATGACTTCAGCCAACAGAACTTTTTGACAACAAAAAAAATAAAAAATGCAAAAAAGTCCAAATGCAGCACAGGCTGGAAAAGGTTTCTTCATAAAGTAAATACCAAGTTAGTTAAGCACGTAATGTAGCATATTATGAGCCCATAATTTTACATTTACACTACTTAACCATACTTTACCAAAATTGTGCAAGCCTTTCACTGCTTTGTGCTATACATGGTCCAATTTGAATGTACCAGAGTACGACACCGTCACCCAAGCACAAGCCAGATACCATTTTAAGAACAAAAAGCAGAAACAATAATGCAGCAAATTTTCTTAGGAGAAGATAATGGATGGATAAGAAAAATAAAGTGCTCAAAACCAAAAAGCCAGATACCTCAGATGATAAACTATTAAAGTTCAGCCCCAATGAAAATTGGATAACTTGAAAATATGAGCATGACACAGCCAAAGGTCTTATCGAAAGTTAATCCATCACAAACTATAATTTGTTAGGCAAGAGTTGACTAACATTACACATATAAGCTTCATCAGCCTCGAATGTTTTATTCATTCCTCTGCAATATGCAGATAGAGCAACTTTCACCTAACTTAAGGCAGGTTTCCCTTCAAATTTTATCAAGATATCTTGAAAAAATCCTATTCAGAAAGGAACTAAACCCACCACTCTCTTATATGCTACACTACTGGCATATGCTATTTTATTTGTGCAAGTGACCATAGTATAAGTTGGGTTTTAAGCCAGTAGGCTTCTTTAGACTGTTCATCAAACCTAATGAATTGAAGAATAACCATAAACCAAGACATGAAAGATATATAACCCAAAGAGCTATTACCTGATACAATTGATTCATTTTATCCATTACAATTTGGCCCATCTCCTCAACACCGCTAACAAAATAAGGATGTCCAATGTCTTCGACGTGGCGCTCTGTATATGTCGAAACTTCACTAAAATTCAGTGCAAGGCGATCGGGTCTCTGAAGCAGAAGTTGAAATGTAGGTTGCAGTTCATAACATTGTTCGAACAGAGATCTGCGGCAAAATACAAAAAGCCCAAGTCGAGCACGGGACATGGCAACGACCAATCTTCTAACATCACGAAGGTGACCCACAAAGCGGGAACGCACTAGAGAGAGCAAAATAAAATCATTTTGCTGTCCTTGAAACTTATCAACAGTTGCAACCTGTAGATAAACATTGATGAGAATATAATGAGATTGAATATATATGAAAGCCTACAAACTGAATAGAAACAATCATGAAAGAGAAACCAATTTGCCATTGATGCAACAAAAGCTGTCCCATGGATGGAATTGGTCATTGGGTATGCATCAGGAACTCACATGGAGAGCTTTTATTTGTCCATCAAGCAAACAGATGAAAACAACATTTACACATTACTCACTCTAGGCAAAATTATGCAAAGATATGAAAAGAAACTTCGACCCATTTCTCATTATTTTCCACACAATAGTTACGTTATGCCTAGTTAACGTAAGAGAGGCAATTGAGCATCTTACCTTGCTGGGTGGGCCAATGAAGTCATAAGGAACACATCTTCTGTTAATAACATCACGAATCAGGAGTTTTTGGCCATTGTAAGTTGTCAAGATGGAGATCTTGTTTGCAGGATATCCTAGCAAACGCATGTAGATATAAACACTAACAATATATTCAGCCTCTCCCTCATTCTGATAGAACCATGGAGAAGGAGCAGTCTCGCCTCTCCCATGGTAATCAGGCACATCCACTAACTGGTATTCATAGGAGAATCCAGAATTTGCTTTATGGAAGATGGCCTCCTCCTTCACGTAAGGAAGGTCTCCCAAATCTCTGTATCTCCAATTGTAAAGTTTGGCTATACTTGGCCTGGCTCTACCCTGTGCATTGAGCTCAATATAAGGAATACCCAGACGAACAAACCTTGTAAACAAGCTCTGATCCATGTGGCTATATTTCTGAAAAGCCATGTTTTTCACAACAGGAGGCAACTGGTGATGATCACCGATCAATATGCAGCGTTTAAGACGTGCATGACCATCCTCCTGTCTCTGAAGCAACATTGGGATGAAAGTTTCAATCTCTAATATTTGGGCACTTTCTTCCATCAACAAGTTGTCATACTTGAAACCCAACTGGAGAAAGTCCTTTCTCTTCAAAGCTGCATGAGTGCAGGTCATTGCCACTATCTTTGCCTGTTTGGTCATAAGGTAATTTGCCCGATCAGCTGTTGATTTGAGCAATTCAAAAGCCCTACACTCTTCTAGTTCTTGGAACATGGTCTTAAGATGACGAAAGCATCCTTTTGCTGCCCGCATGTCTTTCTCAAATGATTGACCTGTAAAAACTGGCTGAGGGGTGTTGGAGAAGAACTCTTTAAAGGGGAAACGGTCCTGGATGAATGTTGGTTTATCTTCATTATCCGCACAAGCGGCAAGGAATAGTTCCCAACGTGAATATACATGCAGTAACCAAAAGTAACCAGCAGTTTCACAAGTATAACCTACATCCTCAGGAAGTTGGAGAGATCTTGCTAGCCTCTCCACTTCACTAAGTAATTCCAATCGTCGCACAAGCATTGCATTGACACGACCTTGCCTACTGAAGTCAAGATCAGTAGCTAGTTCTTGTTCCCCTTGACCAAGTCGAAGAAGATACCGTGCGGGCACATCTCTCTGAAAACAGCAAAAATACCCGGCATTAAAAAAATTGGTACAACCTATACACAGAATAAGCTTTTCTAGATAACTGAACAGGGTTTAATATCGGATTGCCAGTAAATGCTCCATATCAATTGTGCAAACCACAAGGAATAATCAGATTCGCAAATGAAGGCTTGATATAAATTAATATTCCTTAAAACAATATCTATAAGAACTATTTTCAAACCTCATACCTGCATTATCTTCTCAAAAAGGTCATTCAAGGCCTGGTTGGAATGGGTGATTATTAATGTTCTCTGAGAAGGACAGTTATGATATAGAACATTCAAAATTTGTACAGCTGTATCAGTTTTTCCAGTACCAGGAGGCCCCACAACCATAGTCAGTCCTGGCTGGATACCGGACATGATTGCTCCAATCTGCACAAGAAAAACAAATACAATCATTCAAAAAGTAAGCATTAATGGTTTTTTATCCATCATTATCTACTTCATTACATGTCAACCTTGCACACAAAAAAATAAAGAGCTCTGGTGCCAACATTTAGAAGACCCTATTAGATTATAAACCCCCAATCTAAGCACATAAAAACTTAAGAAAATGGTGGATGTCGAAAAAAAAAAAAGGTTTAATTAACCAGTAAATCACAAATAGTTGGACTATTTCCCACTCCAGAAGTAAAATGGTTTAGGGATTTGCACCCACTGTTCCAAACTAGTAAAAAGTGAAAGAGAAAAGGGACATATTCAAAGATCCACCCATAAAAGAAATACTGAGACTGTCACAGACTAGGTTAAAGGAACTGCCATGCACCTGTGTAGGTGTAAATCTGACTGAATTCTGGTTTGGTTGATCTTGGGGATAAGGTCCAGGATCCGGAGGAATGTATGCCTCAACAATAAGTTCTTCTTTTCCACTATACGAATCCACCATACTGACGTCATTTTTTGAACCAATGGTAGATTTTCCATTCCCAGGAATTGCACAAGTGTCGCCCTTCAATTTTTTGGGAAGCCTAATTCGAAAAGGAGGTCTTGGATTCAAGTGATCTGTACCATCTGAATTTACAAAACAAACCTGCATAAAAGAAGATACGTTTTGGAGTCATCTTTAAAATGAATAAACTGCTATGGCAAATCAGCATTCTCCACGCATCATTTTTTTAGGCAATAACATCATTAAAAAAAAATGGTACTGTCTCTAAAACAGAACTCTACAGTGGTGATTTCAAAAAATTTCCAATAGCAAATAGCATTGCCATCACAACCATTTAGGTTATGAACCCACCACTGAATAATTTCGCTGTAGACTGCACATATGATAACACAGTGATGAAGAATGAAGGACTTTAAGAACTAATGTTCAATTTTTTTTCCCCCTTTTTTGCGTGTTTTTAAGTCGCATATTTACTATAGAGATGTCAACACTAACTTTTATTAGGAATTTACTTACATCCTATTTAGTAGAGTTTCATATAGTTTTTATTTTTCCTGCCATTATTAGGTTTAGATTTTACAATTTTCTTAAATGTTTGGTACCCATTGAGCATCATAGTTATAGATTAGAAAGCAATTGTATGAATACTGATTGATCAAATAAATCAAACTCATAGCAATTGTTTGGAGTGAGAGGATAAACGAAAGAAAGATACAGAACCTCATTACTTAATATAAACAACTTCCTATAAAGTGTTCAGTATATCCCTCCCCTATTTCCGCATGTTATCAAAAGCATGTACATGCAAATAGAAAGAGGGAAACAAAAACCAAAATCCAATAAGCAATACAAACCTGGTGATCTGGAAAACACTCCTTTAAATGATCTGCATCCAGGAAAGTATCTTTGAAATCTACTTTCTGGAGATGATCAGGCATTTTGGTCCATTGGGCTGCAGAAGGATCCCCATAGCCCAGAAAAATGTTGTGCAACCAGTCAGGAACAATACAGTATTCATTCATAAGATCTCTTATAGATTCTAAGATTGCTTTGAAGTTATTTTCCTTAGGTTTCCTCCTCATCAGTACATTAAATGTCCCATAAATGTCTTCTGCGCCTTTCTCTGCAATATCAGTGACATCCATGTGGTACTGGGCAGTGTCTAAAGCAACAGTCACAGTTCTAAGTTCACCTTTTGGTGGTTTCCACTCATCCCGTTTAATTCTTCCAGTGAAATCATTCATGAGTGTTCCCTCCTCATCACGAATCTCAATAATTTCACATCCCCGCACATATTGGAGGCCAAGCCTCTCCGGAACACTGGCCTTCTCAGCTTCCTCAGCACTTAGAGGCTCAAATGAAGGGCGGACAGAAAGTAAGAATAAAACATCATGCTCCTTCAAAGCATTCCATTCAGATCTTATTTGAGCTTTATAACTGGAAATGCTAAAAGTAATTTGTGCTGTCACAGACGATGGCTTGACTTCACCAATATTTGGCTGTTTGACCTCATTGATCTTAAATTCTTTTATCGGCACAGCCATTCTTGACCAACCACGAAAAGCAGTTTCTCCCTCATTATTAATGTATGGAAGGAGATGCGGTATAGCTTCCTGAATATCCTCGCGAATCTCATATGTTGACTCAAGCCGAAAGAGATTAAAATTTCTTAAAAGGTAATCATGAAGTGTTAAAAATTGCAAATTAAGTTTAGGAAGTGCCAGACAACCTTCTCCAGAATAGTTAATGCTAGGCACAACACTCTCATCCCACATAATCTGTTCATTTGGATAAAGCGGAAGAGCATTTATTGATTCCTTTTGAGACTGCTGTCTCTCAAAGAAGGAGACCATGACTTCAATAAGAAAATCAACTCTATCAGACCAGGGATCTTCCTCAGAGACCAATTTGAGCTGATAAAAGAACTTAGAATGTCAGTGAATAAATATCTACTTCTTGTGCCAGCATTGGCACACATGCACATTGATCAAAAACTAAGATCCAAAAGTTTTAACTCACAGTTGCCCATTTATAATATCTACATTTCAGACATAAACAGACAAGCAGCAAAAATTAAACCAGCAAGCTGGCAGGTAATTTCTGACATTCTGACTTTTATATACAAAAATGCATGTTAGGTTGAAGAAGTTAAAATACTCTTATTAGACATAAAGTTCATGAAGAAGTCTTCTCCATATGATTGGTTGTCTACCTCCACATCTTTAACATCCTAAACTACCATACAACTTCATATGTATCAAGCTTCTAGCATTTTCCTTGCATATATACTCCATCCAATGACATTCTTAGTATATTAACTACCAAAAGATGAGGACACTGACTTCATGACAACAATCAAGCTATGAAATTCTACTCGAGTTCCAAATACCAACTAAAAAAGAAGTAGTTTGCCATAGTCAGTTACCAATAAGTTCAACTATGAACATGAGTAAACAAGTTGCAAAAAAATTCTATACAAAAATAAAGACCAATCTAAGTAATAACAAATGACAAAAGAACATCTATAGGAGTATAGTAAGATGCAGAACGATATCAAAATTGAAAATAACCAATTATGGAGCACAACAAGGGTAGGGTAGATATATCAGCTGAGATTAAAATGAAGAGCTTTGACCGTTGGAATACATGTAAATTAGCCATCAACCTTCACATACCTTACAGCAAACCACATCCTTCAACTCTTTGGGAGAGAGCACAGACAATTTCCTGGAGAGATCAGCCCGCTTGTGAATTGAACCGATATTAGACAAAGCAAGTTCTCGCAGCTACAACCAAATTTTTGTTTATAAAATTAATACACAAGAATAGAAACATCAAGATAATTAAAATGCCACAAGAAACATTAACTATAAAAGGCTGCATCCTTTTGCAACAGATAGTAGTTAGAATTTCAATGGTTACATATGACAGACCTTGGGGATTTTCTTAAAGGCAAGGAGCTGGAAGGCTTGGAAGCGCTCATAATGAGATCGAAGCACTTCATCATCTGTTAATTGTGTGCCATAGTAATCATTAATCTCAAACCGCTCGTAGAACTGCAGCAAATCAACCAGTTGAGCAAAGAGTTTCCCTTTTTCATGTCTGTAAAGAGCACTTAAATGACATTTTGCAACAACAGCTACATCAGCCACAAGAGGCCTCAGGTACCTGCAACCAGTGGAAAAGGAAGAAAAGGAGAAATAAATGAATAAATGAAAACATAGCATGGGATAAACTGGTGTATGGAAACTTACTACATCTCAAAAGCATAAGAAGCACTTGTAAAGCGAGCTTGCTTTTGAATTAGTAATATTCAAGACATAAACTATATAAGAACCAACTGATAAAATTAAAATCTTGAAAAAGAAAACAAAGATAAGCGAAAATGATAGAGCGAGAGAGGAAGATACCTCCTTGTTGGCAGTTGACTCAACAGATCAATAAGAAACTCCATAAACCTCTCACAATACAAGACTGCAGCATCATCAATTTCATCTTCATTGCCAGAGCTATTCTGGGGAAAAACTCTGAAATCAAGCACCTGAAAGAGGGAAAAAACATAATAAGTTAGCTGGGAAAAAAAAACAGATTTGACTGAATTGAGTTTTAAGGTGAAATTTTACATCAAGAAACTCTTCCATGAAATTCCTCAAAAACCTCACTTCGAGTGAGGCTGAAGGGTTGAAAGGTTCTCCTCGTTTAGTCGCCTCCTCAGCCTCTTTTCTTATTGTCTTTTTCCATTTCTTAATCAATTTATTATTAAGACAAAGCTCCATCTGCAACCAAACGAAGCAAATTACATACTACATGGAACACAAGCAAAACTCTTTAAGAAAATAGAATTACAACAGAATTACACAAGCATAAAAATATCACCTGAAAGCGGCCATATGACAAACTGTGCCATGATTCAAAACTTGCTAATCTGAGGACCTTCTGACGCACCATTTCATCTTCCAAACTCTATGAGATGAAGTTGTTAAATGACATGAGAGATAAAATTTGAGCACAATCCACTATTCATCAACAGAACAATGTGGCATTCCAAAAAAAAAAAAAATGAACAATGTCATTTGACAGATAGAGATTGTGAGATGCCACATGGGAATACGGTATAGAGAGCCAAAAAAAAAAAAAAAAACCCACTCATCCACACCTGATAAATGATCAAAATAAAAGGAAAAGAAACAAAAGAATATGTAGGAAAACAGCATACCTGAAAGGCATTAATCATGAAAACTAGGTAATTTGTCTTCTCTGCTATACTTAACTCTCTCCCCTATAAAACAGCATTCAAAATACTGTCAATCAATTTGCAAAACTTACTAAAAACAAATTTAAATTGTAAATCTAATGCATCAAATGCGTTTACAAAAATTAATGAGGAAACAAACCAAACACACACGCACACGCACACGCACACATACATGGTGAGCCTGTTTATGGTTTTAGTATAGATCAAGTGTGTTTGTTCACCAATATCTTTAACATTTAACTCAAAAGAAACATAATCGTGTTCAAAGCAAGCAGAAAATCTGCGAACTTCAATTATTTAGCCTCAAAATATTCAACACTACGTCAAAATTCTTCCAGCAGCTTAAGCCCAGACTAATGTATTGACTACTATTATCTAGATCTTAACACAATTTCAGTTGTATTAAAAGAGAGATGGTAACAGGATGCAGAGTTTAATTTTTATTTTCAGCCTGCAAGCAAAAATTTAACATCGTCAAATTATATTGTCAAAAACTTAAAAAAGGCCACGGACCTCTTTCAGGTGAAGAACCCTATCAAGAAATCTCTTGAAGACATCCTTCCGATCATAAAAGCATGACCAAGCTGCCACATTCTCTCGAAACTGCAATTTAGAAGATAATATTCTTAAGAACATTCATACTTTCCGGCAATTGTTAAGGCTTGAAACTAAAAAGATTGCACTTGGTTGCTAAAACAAAAAGAAAATCAAAATTTACTCTACCATTTCTTCCTCAACTTAGCAAATGGAAAATACTAGAATTTTAACATGCTGGTTTTTCACTGTTGAACCAAGGCCTAACTTGAAAAGCCGAGTACATCTTTTTGACTTCAGTTAACTCAAATTTATAATTCATCAAGCTTCCACTCCCAACAAAGCTATCTCAGGATCAAGTTAAATTATCCAAATGTAAACTGAACTACTAGTGTTTAATTACTTTAAATCAACTTAACAATGTCTCCCCATTTCCAAATTCTCATACATTTAGACAAACAGACAAAAACACTAACAACAAAAAAACCCTCTACTTCATTGCTTCCCATCCAATGAAACACAAAAAAGCAAAAACCCTAAATAAATCACTAACCTTCTCATTAACCATAAGGATCATAGACATAACATGTTCAAACGTTGCCGTTTCGGGATCAAAATTGGGCCACAAATAATTCTCCAAATACTGACTAACTTCCAAAATCATCACTCTCTGCAGAGGCACTGTCTTTCTCCCTTCTTTCACTTTCAACTCCGTCTCATATATCTTCTTCACCAGTGCCTCATCAAATCCCATCTTCTCCTCCCCTTCTGCCACCACGTCTCCGCCATCCGCGGCAGTAGAAGTGGTTGTTTTGAGCCAGTTTGCGGCAGCAATCTTAGTCAATCTGTCGCGTTGGATCTCGGAGAGAGTGATTGAGCTTGAGAGAGTTGTTGAACCGGGTTTCGAATCAGCCGATTTGGTCTCGGGTCGGGTTGCGGAGAGGTCGACTGGGTACTCGGCGACATGATGGCGCTTGAAATCGTAAGCGCCGGTGCCGTATACTTTCGTCATTGCTAAAGTTACTGAGATTAAGAAATCTAGGGATTTTTTTAATTCAAAGGTGACATTACGGATTTTGAGAGGGGGGGGGAGATAAACCCTGGTGGTGGGTCAGTGGCGGTGAGGTTTCAAAATGAACGACAAAAAAAAAAAAAGAAAAAAAGAAAAAGGGCAGTCGGGTTTTATTATTGGGTATTTCTTATTATGGGCCACGTTTTTGGACTTGGAATTTAGTTTTAGGGCCTAGTTGGAATGTAATATGGGCTGGGCTTATGGATATTTTCTCTTGGTCCATTTGTTTTGCTAAAAATGTTTTATTGTGGAAGACATTTTTCCTAAAAAAATGAGTTGTTTTTCATTGTCTCGATATATTTTTTAAAAAAATATACTTTCTTTATGAAATAAATTATTTTATATTGGTATTTTTGAAGTGATGGTAATAAAAAGAAGAAAAATTATGGTATTGATAATAGAGGTAGGGGTTTGTATGATCCGATTTGAATCGAGAAATCCAACACAACTATTATAGTTATATGTGTTTGTTTTTGTTTGATTAAGTAGTTTGGCTTTTATTTGAATCCAAACAAACCCAAAAATAACATTCTTTTATGTTTGAGTTTTTATTTAAACATAATCATTTAAAAAATATAAATTAGAAAATAGAAAATTTATTTGAAAGAAAATTAAAAACATAAAACAAAACTGAAATATTTCGATTCATATAAAAAGGTCTAATCTCAATCATAATAATAAAAGGAAAATACAACGGTATTGTTGCTTAACCAATCAAAGAAGAAAACATGATAAGAAAGTTCAAGATGTATTCAGAAATGAAAAAATTGTATTTTTTTTCAATTCCAATTTTGACTCTATTTTTTGTTTTCATTTTTTTTTTTAATTTAAAGAATGTGTTCATTCACTATAGTTTGTAGATTTTTAAAAAAAAAATTAAAAAAAATATACTCGTGGTTTTTTTATACCATTTATTTTATAATTTTAAATATATTAATACAAACACATTTCGAATGGCATAATTTACCAAACGTTTTTCCTGCATCCACACCCACGACTACTTTTAATGCCAATTGCCAAACACACACTATGTAGGTTTTACTTCACATGTCTTTGCCTAATGCACGTGACTGGCTATGCCTTATAATCTTATCGATTGTATGAGCATATATCCCACGCGTTATCACAGGATAAATTATATATCATTTTTATACATTCATTAATATAAATTTTAACATTTACAAAATCATTATTTGACAATATCATGCGAAAATAATTTTTTAAAAAACACTAAAACATATATTTCATAATTTGCTATAGGGTTAGCTAATGAAAAATCAGTAAAGCTAAGTAATATAATATTGATAATTAGATATTTTTTATATAAACATGTATTTTATTAATAGCTGATAATTAAAATAATAATGTGGTAGTTTTTTGAATTTTTGATGATTAATTTCTACCATATATTATTCATCCGTAATTTATTAATGAGACAGAGAGACCACTCAAAACAAAAAGATAAAAAAGCTCTATCAAATCGAGAACTTGGCAAAGAAAATAGAGATAAAATTACACATGATAAAAATTAAATGATTAAAACAAAGTAAAGATTATAAAAGGATAAAAATAAATAAATAAAACTTTCACTAAAAGCATACTAAAAATACTTATAAATAATAAGACTAAAAAAATTTCATTATGCATAAGGTAGAAACAAAAGTAAACATTATAGAATTTTAATGACTAAAATAAAAAAATTAATAACATAAGAATCAAAACAGAAATTTTTTCACTAAAAATAAAAAAATTAGGATAGTTAAAATGTATTTAATTTTAATGTAAAATGATTAATAATTAAATATAATAAAAGTTTAATGATCAAAATAAACGAAAGATCATAAAACAAAAACCAAAATATAACAAAAAGTTTTATTAAAAGTAAAAAATAGTTCCTTGTAGGAAAAAAATTTAATTATATAAAAAAAAATTACAAAACAATTTTTTTTACTAAATTTAATGACGAAAAGAAAGAAAAAATAACAAAATAGAAATTAGAATAGAAAGAAAATTTCAGTAAATAAAAAAAACCTTAGGATAGTAAATTTTATTTAGTTTTAACATTGTAAGGATAAAAATTAAATATGAGAAAGTTTTCATAACTAAAATAAAAAATATATTAAAAAACAAAAAAAAATAAATAAATTTTTACTAAAAATTAAAAAAAAATTATTATAAGGATTAAAATCACATATAATAAAATTTTAATATTTTTTATAGGGATAAAAATCAAATGTCGGAAAAGATGAATGACCAAAAAAAAAAAAGAATGAAGGGACCAAAATAAATAAGAATTTCCTAAGCCGAAACCAAAGGAAAAAAAACAGTCGGGCCGCGCGGCTCGAGCTGAGTCGCTCAAATAAAAAAAAAAAAAGAAGTAATAATAAAAAAAACAAAACAAGGGCCGCAACTTCCGGCAATTGAGGTCACCGGAATCTTCATCAAAAAGTCGGGATTTAAGTTTCGGACCCCTAAAAATTGAATTCCAGTATCATTTTTTTCCCCGAACACCTCTAAATGATCGAAATAAAGCCAATAAACATATCTAAAACTTAAAAATCATTTTAATGCATAGAAAAACAAAAACAAATTATACAATCAAATCGGAATTTTGTTTCCTTTTTTGGCTTCAATCTACCTCATCTAATGGTTTAATTGCTTTAAATATTCATGGACAAACTCATCTCTCAAAAATAAACAAATCTAGTAGATTTTCGTCGGCTAAATGGGCCTAAATAAACTTGGCCGATGATTTTCTCTCTCTCTCGTTTCTCTCTTCCCTTCTCCCTTTTCTCTCATCCAAGGACCAAAATGGACGAGCAAATGAAGATATGGATCGAAAGATTAGTTAACAAAAATCAAGAACCAAAGTGTAAAAAATCAATAAATAGTGAATTATGAGTGTGTGAACAGTATTTGAAACGAGTAAACCGAGATTTTGTTTTTAGTTTATTTAGTTAATATTCCATGTGGTAAGTGTTGTTTATATCTTTTGATCATTACACGTGAAGGGTTCCCCCTCCTCTCTCTTTTTTGGTGTTGCTTTGCTATATTCTCCACTTCTCTTACCACATGAAAAAAAGAAAGTAAAATTAAATATGATCTACTTCTAGATTAATTATTTATGTATAATTCAAGTTTCGATTTTATTTTTATTTTATATACAATGGTTATTATGAACAATTAAGCACCTATAAATGTGGTAAATTCTTGGCCATATAAAAGTTACACTCCTTGTCTTTGTCCAATGCATGTGTTTGGTTACGTTGTTATTTGAATTGTTTTCCACATTTGAACTTTGTAGTCTTTGATTTTTTTTTATTAAAAATCTCTTCTTCTGTTTTTTAACTTGATTAAAACTTTATATTTTTTAAAATTTCTTGTATTAGACCATCCGATATTATGCTATCAATTAGTGATTAATACACAACTTTTCTTTTTTTATTTTATAATATTATCACGTGTCGATCACTAATCAATAACATTATAACATAGGTTTGAAAGAAAAATATCGAAAAGTAAAAAGTTCGATTAAATTGAAAAAAATATATAGTTTTAATTAAAAAAATTAAAGAATAGAGAATCTAAATATGGAAAAAAAACAAAACATATATGATTCTATGATCTTTTGCCTATTCCATAAGGCAAGTGTTTGTTATGTTTTTTTCTGTCATTAATCTTACTATTTCTTGTTGATCGACAACACATGTGAATAGCTAATATTCTGACTATTGGATATATAACGGTGTGTACGTGTAGGTTTTTCGTTGCGTGTGTTGTTTTGCCAAGTGCTCCTCTTTTCTTATCACTTCACAAAACAAGCTGGCCTTTACGAATAGTTAGGCACGTATCCATATGGCAAATTATTGGTTTTATGTGTTACGTTTTACTTCACATGTCTTTGCCTAACACATGTGTATGGCTCTGTGTTATTGTCCAGTACTTTGCTTATTCCATGTGGCAAGTATTGTTCATGCTTTTTTTGACAATTGCATGCATAAAGTTACGTCTAGATTTTTTTACTTACGGATGTCGCTTTGCCAAGTGCTGCTCTTTTCTCGTCACATGTAACAGGCAAAATTGTAGATGAAATATTTCAAAGTAAATCATTGTTTAGATAGAGAATATGGTAATACAACAATCTATATATATATAAGAGATAGTGTTATTTATAATTATATTTTCTTTGCAATCAAATGAATTTGTATAGTTAAAACTAAAGAATTGAAAATAATGTTATTTTTTTCCTTACAAATTAATCATTAATACATATATTTTTTTTAATTTAGTATGGATGATAAAAGTAGAATTTTTTTCCATTTAGAGAAGATTCAAGGCTCTAAAGAGTCTAAATAAACTTACAATGTCTAAGAATTACAATTCTACAAATATCCTGTAATAAAAAATTAATACGATCCATCGAAACAATCTAAAAATTAAAAATTCCTAACCAAAAAAAACAGACATAAAAAATTAACCGATGTATTAGTTTAAGTTGGAGAAATTACTTGTGACAGTCTGTATTCTATCAGTGTGTTCTATCAAATCTTTCATTACCGGATAATGTAAGAACCATCTAATGAATGATGATTTTTCTACACCATTTTTTTATAATGGCACAACTCAACTAGGCCATGATAAATAGTCGATCGAGGTGTATCGTTAGAAATTGGAGGTGTGGCAAAATCACCACTCCCATCTTATAAATCCTTTCTCCTCTGCCATGCATCATTTGCCACACACAAACACAAAGCTTCCTGGTTATGGCAACCACCATCCCTACTGGCTCATCCCTTTCTCCTCAAAGGTAAGAAACTTTTGGTCATCCTCTTTTCCATTAGAGGTCTTGCTAGTTGGCACCTTAATTAATTAATGAATTGGGGTCACAGTTTTTGCTTGTTTCACATCATTACAATCAAAAGTAGTCTATTTATTTTGAATCCCTTTTTGTTTTTTCTTGTATATAGGTTACTAGGGAAAGTAGCATTGGTCACAGGTGGAGCAACAGGTATTGGAGAGAGCATCGCCCGTTTTTTCCACAAACACGGTGCAAAAGTTAATTTGTATAGTTGGTTTGCAGGATAAACTTGGAAAAAATGTCTGTGAGGCCCTTGGTGGTGAGCCAAACACTTATTATTTCCACTGTGATGTCTCCATTGAAGATGATGTCCGTCGCGCTGTTGACTTCACTGTCGATAAATTTGGGACACTGGATATTATGGTTAACAATGCTGGGCTGGGAGGTTCACCCTATCCAGATATCCGTAATGCAGACTTATCAGACTTTGAAAAGGTTTTCGAAGTAAACGTGAAGGGTGTGTTTCTTGGAATGAAGCATGCAGCTCGAGTTATGATCCCTCTAAAGAAGGGTTCGATTGTTTCTCTTTGTAGTGTTGCCGGTGTCATGGGGGGCATTGGAACGCATGCTTACACAGGGTCAAAGCATGCTGTGTTAGGCTTGACAAGAAATGTTGCAGCTGAACTAGGAAAATATGGGATCCGTACGTGTAAACTGTGTTTCTCCTTAAGCAGTTCCAACAAGCATGCCTATGGCTCTATGCATGAAGATGGGAAGACTGAGGATGCCTATGTGGGTTTTCGTTCTTTTTTTGGGAGGAATTCTAACTTGCAAGGTGTGGAATTGTCAGTAGATTATGTGTCTAATGCTGTTCTCTTCCTAGCAAGTGATGAAGCTGAGTATGTTAGTGCGGATAATCTGATGGTTGATGGGGGCTTCACATGCATAACTCACTCACTCCGAGTCTTTAGATGATAGGTTTTTTCAATAGGTAATTAAGGCATACTGCCATGCCTAAGATGGCATTTTCTCTCCTCATCTCCATGACTGGTAATCTTCCACAAATAATGGGCAATCTTTATGATTGCTAATACCATACAAATAATGACAACTTACTTGAATTTCACTCTTTTTTCCCTCTTCTTTTCTTGTGGAAATAATGTATGTGGCAGATGGGAGCTAATTGTCAATTTGGTCTTTTGGTTTCAGCAACTTTTAATAATTAAGTGTAATAGATTACATAAAGAAGATATAAATATCATCAATTTAATATTATATTTCGAATGTAATTTGGTTTGAATTCCATTTAAGAAGTAAAACTTTTCTTATCAATGAAAAGATTTATCTTTATTAAAAAAAATATTGTACCTTAATTTAATAGCCAACTATATATACTCCACAAAATGAAGATGATGGTTACATAATTGAATTTTCATCATATCAGCATTCGTAAAATAAAAAAATCTGACAAAATTATTCCATAACTGTTCACAACCATAGTATAATTAGAAATATCCATCGAATTCTTTATCCATGTCTATCATTATAAAAGATTATTTTCAGTTCATGCAAGAAGACAAAATGGTTCAAGAATTTAAGCAGAAAAAATTCCGAATTCAAGACTATTAGAAATCCATGAACTTTAAATTCATTCAAATTCTTTAGGCTGTTTTTACGAATAAGTACGTAGTTTTTATGTTTAGATTGGGAGTAATAAACAAGTAATATTGTACCTTATTATTATTGGGTAAGATTGAACACTCCTCCATATTTATGATCAAAACTATATATATATATATATATATATATATATGTAACGGGGGAATGATTAGCTTTAACTTGTAAGGCATTAGGGTTAGTAATTATTGGATTAGAAGAAGGGATCCCTTGTTTTCCCTTAGGTGGGTTAGTGGCTGTGACGTTTCAAAAAGCAAAAGTTGGGTAGTGCGTTTTATTAATTATTGGATATTTCTGGTTATACATGGACCCTGTTCTTATACTTTGGACCTAGTTTTAGGTTCTGGGATTGATTTTTTTTTTCAAAAAAATCCAACGCTTATCATTCATTGAGTATCTTTAGTGGATATGGATGGACTTTTAAATCAAATATTCCGAATTCTCCATTTTTGAAATAAAAAAAGCAGAGTGAAGTTTTGTAATGGTGACAACGAAGTATGAAACGTGGGATTCAAACTTAGGATATTCTGGTAAAAATCCAAAAACTCTTACTAATCAGTCACTCTTTGTGGTTGTCTAGGATTGAACTTTAACATTGGACTGGACTTATGCGTGTTTCTTTTCATGTTGTGAGTCTTTTTTTTTTTTTTGGATAAATTATTTTCTTTGTTTATAAAGAGGAAAGTATTGCTGATAGAAGAGAGATGATGATTTTGTAGTTCAGACATCCATTTTGGCCAATATGAATCTTGTTACTTTGAGTAAAATTATTTCAATGATACTTCTTGCAAAAAAAATGCTGTGAATCTGCAAGTTTTGGCATAGCAACTAAGGTTTTTTTTTTTTTTTTTAAGTTGAACAGATTAGTCAAATGCTCAAGTTCGATCCTTGATACTGTTTAGCACTGTAACAGGAATATTAGTCCTTGACTCCTGGTACTCTTGGACAAGACGGTTTGCAAATCAATCAATCAAATCAAATGATTCGAATGCTTTTCTTATCGAATAAAAAAGATATTTTGCTATAAATTATTTATTAAAGAGTAATAATGCCAAGGAATCTCACTACTTGAGTCTGCGTATCGGACTGCAGTGAGGAAATATTTTCCATCCTTTCTTCTTAAAAAAATTCGAAACTTTGGAAATGTTTAATAATCTATTTAAATAATTTTAAAAAATAAATTATAATATTAAATATAAAAAATTTATTTGATAAATTAAATAATTTTATATTAAAAATTTAAATTCAGTCAAAATCTACTTAATTAGATAAATTAAAAATTTTAATTTATTATTTTTTGATTAACACACTTAAGTAAAATAGTTTTAAAACTTTTTAAACGTGAATTTATCGTTTTTATATATCTTTATAACTTTAGCTATATAAATCAACTGAAAAATAATCTCTATGATCCTCATTTTTAAAACAAAGAAAATTTTAATTGTTTCATAAATACTAAATAACTTATCAAGAATTTATTCAATACTTAATTATTTAATATTTAAAATTTAATATTTAATTTTCAATTTTACTAAATATATTCTCTGTTTCGCACGGATCAACTTAATTATTTGAGAAAAACAAAAGCTTATATATATTCAAGACGGTTTTCAA